CGGGCGCAGCCGTGGTGCTTCGTCACTCCCGGGGGAAACGCTCTGCTGGGCGGGCCCGGGCGCCCTGCTTAGCGGCTCTGTGCGTCTGGGCGCTGCCGTGCCCCCCTGTGCCTGGCGCGCCGGTAGGGCTTCGCCTCTCGGGGGAACTGGGGGTGTAGTCCGGCACCCTGCCCTGTGCGGTGGCGGGAGCTCGTACGGGGCACGCCTCACCAAACAGCCCAGTGCGGTTCCGACTGGAAGAGCTGCTCAGGCCAGGCCCCTAGAAAGTAGGCATGTTTTAATTTTAGGGTCTGTATGTGAAACTCAATAAAGCACTTGAATTTGGAGGGGAAGGGGAGCAGAGCCAGAGCAAAAGGAGGTAATTTGTATGTCAGCTGGGTTTTGAAATGAGGTGGAGTACCCGTTAGACAAAATGTTGTTTCTGCCTTGCAACTGTGAGGGAGAAAGATCCTTGAACCAACAGCATAAAAGGGCAAAGCAATGATAGATGTAGTATAAGCATTGTCAAAAACTGAATGGGGAGGGTGAAAGAGAAATAGAAGTCTGCTGGCTTGAGTGCATGCTCAAGGAACATACTAACAGCTGAAGATATCTTTAAACTAGGACCTGAAATGAATGGGAGAGCCAGAGGGAAAGTATGATGTATGTAGTGTAGGTTTCTGGTCACTTGCACTGGCTTGCTTGTGGTCCAGGGTAACTTGTATTTCATTACAAACTCTACCTACCTCAAATTTAGTGACCTCCTGGCAGCTCTCTCACCTCACCAGTATCTTGGGCAGACTCCTGAGTCTGTGATACCAGTGGAATTTTGGAAAATCCTTTAGGTGGCTGCAGAGGGTCCTCCTGCAGCTGCAGGAGGTGAAAGGTCTGGCTGTTTCAGCAGCAGAGAAGAAAACTGAGCAAAGTCTGCTGCTGATACACTTCTATGTGCAGTCATTCAAATTTGTCCAGGTTTGACTAAATTGCTGTGAACCTCTCCGTTGATCATTTTATTTTAGACTGAGGAGGCTGAGTTTGTAGGGAACATTGCTGAACTAAACCGAGATAGAAATAAATTACATAAAATTCATACTCTGGCACAGATCTCCTCCTAGGTTATGAAAGGCCAAGTTACCAAACTCGCAGCGGGCTTGCTGGGGGCAGTTTTGTATTGGCCACGTGCTTTCACCAGTAGTAGTTTGAGGTGCAGGCATTACAGTCCATTCCTCATGCTTTGAGCGAATGCTTTCAGAATGAGGAAACCTGAGACAACCTGTGACTGATCCATAAGCCACTTGGGCAGTCTACAAGGCAGTTTCTGAGGAAGAAATCTGTTTAATTGGCAAATGCAGTTGCCTGAGAAACATTCAAGTTCTCTTGAGTTTGGTCATAGTATCCTCCCATTGCAACCTTTTTAAAACATTTATTTAGTGTTGCTTTACCTCAAAAGAAGGCTTGATGTTTGGAAATGGAAGAGTCTTGCTTTTTAATGGGCCTCATAAATGTAGCCAGAGCACCCCCTGGTTTTTAAAATTAAGGACATGAAGAAAGTCACTCTGTCACTGCCTCCACAGCGAAAAATGGGAATGGTAACTCTTACCTTACGTGTAATGTGGAGAGTTCTTCAGGCATTGTAAAGAACATAGTGGAGTTAATGCTTATGTATTCAGGAAGAATTTGAGATAAGACAGAATACCCAGGCTGCAAAGTTAACTTGTCACCACAGAGAGACTATTTAGTGTCGGCTCCTGTGAGGAGGGAGGTGCTCTGAAGCCACTGCGGGTGAAAATGGTCAAGTATTGCTCCCCTGCTGGGTTCTGTCACACTGTATGCAAAACTGCCCAATTCTCAGGCATTAGCAAATGAGTTGCACCCCTTCTGGCTCCTGGGCTATCATGGCTTCATTAGTGGCAGAGTTTATCTGGGGGGCAGCTCTGGTGGTCTGCCTTGCTTTGGGAATGGGAGGTAACACTCAGGTTCAGCTAAAGGGTAGCCACACTAATATTTACCCCCTCCGGACACATGCTAGGAGCAGCCCATTAACTTTCCTCCTTCCCCACACTGTGTGCTTGTGTGGGGACAGAAGGGTTGTTCTGTCTGTCCAAGGCTAGTGGTGCTTGCTGGTGACAGATATCCCCACTTTCACCAGCAAGTACGTGTCTTACTCTGGTTGCATGTTCCCCATCCAGAACTCTAGCTGAGCAGTGTTCCGTGCTCTCAAATTCTGTTGGCTTGGATTTGAGAGAATCTTGCAGCTTTGGCTGGAAAAAGGGGGTGTAATGGAAGAATATGTAGCGCAGTAGATGAATTCTTAAGGGGACAATTTTGGAATTAAAAAAAAATTATGAAAAGATCTTTATTAGTCTTCCAGAATGTAAATGCCACTCCTCTTACGCAATCATTGCAGTTTTGACACTGTTATCAATGCATGGAAAAAAAAGTCCCCATTGCACACTAAACATTTAGAGAATTTAGAAAAAACATTAACTTTCTACCACTTATGATGTTTATTTATTGTCAAGCATTCAGCATAAGGCTATGAGTAGTAGCACTGCCTTGCTTAACATGCTTATGTTTGGTTCCTATCGTGTTTTCTATTACAAATCTAGTTTAGATGCTGAAAAGGGAGTGTCAGATATCTTTTAGATTATTTTCTGTTTTTCTTGGTTTAATTTTCTCATTCTCATGAATTAATATATTGCTTCAAGCATTGTGGGGAGGGGGGAGTGTTGCAGCTCAAATGAAATAATTTACATAGATATAATTATATTCTGAAGGCACTAAACATTTCTACCAGAGATTTTAAAATACTCAGTTTTGTTTACAAGTCATGTTCCTTGGGCCTTTAGCAACGTCTTTACTAAATAATAAACAGTAGAAAAGATCCTGTCTCTCAGTTACTATTCCTTATAGAAAAAGAAAGGGAAGAGCAAGATAATGGTATAGTCTGCGGAAAGAATAACCAATTTCTGATTTTTCTTGGCTTTCGGTATTTGGCATTATACTTGGTGAGTCTTCTTGGTGAGCCAGCCAGCAACCCAGTCCTCTGATATTCCATTTAACTGTGAATCCCAGTAGTGTAAAAGAAATAGAAATTTTTTCACATTAATTGGCAGTAGCATCGATGGTTTAGATAAATATGTCTAATTTTTTCCAAGCTGCTTAGTTTGGGACACAAAATGGTACCTAATTGTCTGTACAATTATGTGTAGAAGCTGAGAATCCTGTAGCCTGGAAGTCGGTATGTACCTGCTCTGTGTGAGTCATAAAAGGCTTGGACCTGTTAAAGTCAGTGGCTGAGTCTGACTTGGTACCAAAATGGTAGTGCAGCCACTGAGGCAGGATAGGCAGAGCGGATTCTGTATGTGGCCTTCTTTTGTT